GATACACAAACACATAGCCCTTAAACCAGAGATTTTTTTTATTGGGAATCATACCAGAAACTTACAATAAAGACTTGAAATATCTGATTGTAAACAATCGTATTTGCAAAAAATTGGAAAAATGAAACAATACCAAAACAAGAGGAAGTTATTCGAAAGATAATGAAGTGTGCTGAAATGAGTAAATTGACATTTGAAATTAGAGAACAAGAAGATGAGCAATTGTATAATATATGGGATTTGTTTTATCAGTGGCTTGATAAAAAAACCTGGAAATGAAAAATGTTTTATGTTTCAATTGAAGGAGATAAGTGATAATACAATCATATTGTTAAATAGATTAATAACGATACAATGAAAGACTGACATATATATGAATTGAACAATTTAGAATATTTTGTTTTAAATTGAAGGATAAGGATAATAATGAATCTATGTACATTTGATAGATGATTGGTGATATTATGCATAACTCTTAGTAGTGATGTATATTATAAAAATATTTTGTTGATAAATAGGTTTGCTGAAAAGAAAGAAATATTAACCGTAATTGAATATATGATGTACAATGACAGTGAGGTACTTAGTTATATTGGAAATTTTGTGATTGTATATATAATTGAAAATATGGATGCACAAACGCTTGTAACCAAATGACATGCTGTATGTAATGGATGAGAGTTTTATATGTTGTCTTTTATGTTTAAAAATAAAAAATAATAAAAATAAGTATGAACTATGGAATTAAAGAGGTTTTAAATCAACATAAGATAGAATCTGCATACAAGCTTTTAAACCAGCATGATAAACTCACAACAGAGACAGCAGTCTCTTTTTCTTTCTAAGAAAAAAAATGTTAAATTAAATAATATAGATTAAAAATAATACAGAGAATTAAAGTTTTACTATATTATATTTTTATTTTACCGTGTGGGAACAGGAACCTCTGTGAGACCAGTGAGAAGAACAGCTGGAGACAGCCTCACAAAAGCAATAATTGGTCTCTCCAAAAAATGCACTTCTCCCACAAGCACATTTGATGCCTCTGCACCTATTGGAATCTTCCTCATAAAGTTCATATCCACCTATTTTCAAAGAATGATTAATAGTATATTAAAATATTCTAAAGCATTTTTAAACTGACATTTATAAATAAGTGACAAGCAAAATATACTGTATTATTGAGGTGTCATGTATGTTATGAAGCTTAATAACATTTTAATATAACCATATGTACAAATACTGTGTTTCATAACTATGTTAAAATATACAATCACAAAAACTTACTAAAATTATATCTTGGGAATAAAATGATTTTATATTAAATGGCTACAAATTTCACTAAATCAATGTAATTATATACACAATTGCTTCATTTTTTAAATTCAATTTTAAAAAGAATATTTATGGAGAATTCATTCTTTATACAGTAGTGTTCTTCAAATTACCCATGGGAACTGTGTATATAATTATAAAAATTCACCAACATAATATATAGCATTATACAAACTATTGGTTCACATAAAGACAGAAACACAAAAATCACTGAAACTAACACACAAGTTACACAGCTATCTAGAAAATAAACACTTACAGCTGGCCTCTTGAGTCCCACACCAAGTGTGCCACAATTACAGTGCCAGGAGGCAGAATCCTGCCCAACAGCAGACAAGGCAGGTGCAGAGAAGAACAGGCCAATTAAAAAATATAAAAGCTGTGACAGAGGAGCTAGAATAGTGGCATTTGCCATGGTTAAACTATCATATAAATTTGTTTTGTTAAGAGAACTTTTAAGCAAAATTACATCATTTTCCTGAATTACATATTGGAACCAAAATATTGAAAGGAGAAATACTATATTATACAAATAATAACTTCATTACAAGTTAACATTATTTACACTAAAGCAGCAGTCCCCGACTTTTTTTGTACCAGGGACTAGTTTCTTGAAGACAATTTTTTCATGGACAAGGTGAGATGTTTTCAGTTTTGCTTACTTGACTGCTACTCACCTCCAGCTGTGCAGGCCAGTTCCTAACATGCCACAGACCAGTACTGGACTGTGGCCCAGGGGTTAGTGACCCCTGTACTAAAGGAAGCAATTCTGTGTAGATTATTCAATAAAAAGGGAAACATACAGGTTTAACTGTGTACTTGGTCCTTCAACCTACAATAGTCTATCCATTTAAACAAAGGTTCTACCCCACTTATAGTTCTAAATGCACTCTATTCATATTATACCTGGAAGTGACAATGTTAGCTGAGGTACTCCAGTCAGGATTCTGTATATACATCTAAAATGGGCTATGTCTATGCTACAGCAAAGTTTCAATGACATGATACAGACACTTCTATAAATCTTAGAGCCCACTACACAGAAGGAAAAGTCAATGATCTTAGTATTACTAAGCCTAGTAATAAAAAGCTTATGCAGATAGTCCATGACTTACAAATATAGATCCAGCAACTGTTTGACATAACAATGGCACTGAATGGACATTCAACCAGTGCTAAGTTATGGGCCATGTAATTGTGATCTGGGCCCTTGGCAACCCATTCATACTTACAAAGGGTTACCAAGCCCTCCACAATCATGTGATCACCATTTACAGGTCAACAGAGAAGCTGACAGGGTTAGGTCACAAGCTGCTCTCTCTCTCTTTTTCTCTAGCCCAGAGACAACAGACTGCTGGGAGAAGTGAAGCTGGGACAGCTTTGCTTTGCACAATGCACTGTCCTGTTCCAGGCAGGAGAAAAAGACCTAATTCTGTAGCTCATGCTAAGGAGTAGAGCAGCTGCCTACCCTTTTTCCGCAAGCCGCTCTCTCACTCTGCTCAACCTACCTATGCAATTGCTTAGGAGCCACATTTGAGATGGTCAGGACAGTGACTATTGAGGAAGGCGATCACATTGGTGCCTTGCTTAATGACTGCAACATTTTATAACTGTAATAGGCAGACTCTATTATCATCATAATTTGAGGATTATCTATAAAATAACAATTTTATTATGCATCAGAATATGACTGGACAAGTCATAAATGTATTGTTCTAGTACAGGAGTGTCAAATTTGCATCATCACATGATGTATTGTGACTTTTTTCCCCTTTGCTAAATCGGGTATGGGTATGGTCAGCGCATGAGACATCTGGCCTACAGGCTATGAGTTTGACAGCCCTGCTCTAGTAACTAAAATATATATATAGTGAATCTTTAAAATAGAAAATAACATTACTAAGACTAATAATTAACAGCAGTACCTAATATTTGAAAAAAGCATTTGAAAAGTGTTTTAACCAGGAAATCTTAAGAAATCTGATAGGAATAGTTTCAATTAATAATGTTAATTGTTAAAAATTAGGTGGGATTGTTATCATAAATATGTTATTATATTTAATGTTGTGGTAACTCCCCAAGAATTTGGATGATTTGGTGGCATACATATTTAATCAATAAAAACAACAATAGCACAAGATCCATGCATATATTTCTACAATATATTTCAATTTGCCTTTGTTGCCACCCTAATTATGGCCCTCACATGATAATCAAGAATAAAAGGAAGCTGCAACATAAAAGAAAAGATAGTGAACCTTAATTCTGCAAGGTGAGTTGTGCTTTTGCTGTTGCCTTTAACTATTATGGCTACTGAAAAATAACAACAACAATAAATGAAATACTATTAAAATAGCAAATTAGCTTGAAAGACATTTACAACCTTCTACAATTTTGTACTAGAGCTTTTATGAAGTTCCACATTTTATCAATTTATTTGTGATATATCCAGGCTCTGGTTTAAGACCTCAAGACAATATACTAGCACTCCTTCCATTATTTTCTCGCAAACAACTTTGAGAGAGAGGTTGGGTTGAAATAATATAACTGATCAAAAATCAACCACTGAGCTTCCATGGTTGATGGTAGACTGCTTAGGGTACATTGACTGCTAATTCAGAATTTCTAACCTAGTCAGATTTCAGATCTTTAACAATTTTTTCACACCATTATTCTCTTTGAAGAGGAGCGCTAGAGACTGCCTCATATCTAATTATTATAGAGTTAAATTCTTATCTATATTGCTACTGTCCCATTTTAGTAAGTAACCACATCAGTCTGGAATCTTCCACTCACCAACTTAACCCTGACTCCACCTTCCTCTCCATCCGCTTTCCTCTTTCACATATCCTACTATACCCAGTAGACTCTCAGCTTACAATGTGTAAAATAAAATAACATGTTTAAGCAATAATGTAGAATTTATAAAATAAGTGATAAATAGCAACATAACATAACAACATAACATCATAACATAACATAACATAACATAACAACAAAAGTGGCACAGCCTATGTATGTATATATGTATGTATGTATGTATGTAGAAATAAATGTCAACCTTGAACATTGGTGATTTTCTTGAACTCTTGAAGTTTTCTTAGCAATATTTTCAGAAATGTTTTGAAGTGATTATCCCAAAGTCACCCAGTTGGCTTCATTCTTCAAGTGAAACTAGAACTTAATCCCCTGATGTCTTTTGTTTTTAAGCATTATACCAAAGTGTCTATAACTGATACTCTATTTTTAGGTAATTACTAAAATATACCTATAGTTTCTACTAATTTATTCTAGAACTTTATTTTAGAGTTTAGATTATACAAGTGCAAACAAGTATATTTTGAAGAGAAATGCACAAAACTATGTGTTCTCTAAAAACTTAAAACTTTACCTTGCTGAAGTCAACCGTACTGTTTTCTCTACTCCCTCCTGTTCCACTAATTTTAAATTCTCCATTTTTTCCAATATCCAAATTACCAGGTGCAGATTGTGGTGATGCTAAGAGCCCTAAAATTAGAATAAAAAAGCATATTTAAAATACTTTACCTAGAAATAGGCATGATTACATAACAATTGTGACAGCTTTCTAAAAGCAAATGTGAAAGTTAATAAATAAAAAGTGCATTAGTACCAAAATTGCAAAACAAGTTATTTTTCTGGAAAACAATGAAAGCTTATTAAGTGTTAAAATTAGCTATTACCTAAATGATGGCCTTTTGCAAAATTCACCAAAAAGGTATTATTTTTAAACTTTAAAATGTGCATCTAACCACCAATGTGGATCATGCAATTACAAGAATTTTGTAATTTTACTGGAATTCCCTGGAACAATCATGAAATAAAGCAAAATGTACTTTAGAATACTTAAATAAATCCTATATCACAGTGAACCATTAGAAAATTAGCAATCATCCATTACTGCTGCCCTATAGCAAGAAAACTTTTAAAAGTAGGTTCTGAGCCATGATCCAAATAATGTATTTATTTCTAAGTAAAGTTTGAATTAGGGGTAGGGGTTATTATTTTACTCTGTATATTAAGACTTTTATATTTTGTAAGCCACCTAGAGTCATGGAAAGTGAGTGGATGGCCATGTATATTTCATATATGTATTCTTATGAAGATAAGTAATACATAAAATTCCATTTTAAATGTTTGCTTACTTTTTACTTTAATTTTACTTATTTGCATCCTGCCTTTATTATTTTTATAAATAATTCAATGTATCCAAGACATCTTCCTCCTATTTCCCACAACAGCAACTTTGTAAGGTGAGTTGGGCCTAGAGAGAGTGACTGCATAAGGTCATCCAGCTGGCTTTCATGGGCAAAATAGGAAAATAATAGATATGTACATTATTCTGGAAGCAGAATGTTGTAGAGGACCACAAAATGTTCTGTTTCTCCACTGGACTGTACCATTCTAGCCAAATATTAGTTTTTCAACATGAATGGAAACTGTAGGTTAATCTTCAAGAGGAAAATTATTCCTTATATTCAATATATCAATTTTGTGTAACAGATCCATGATGTAATTGTTTTACACATCAGAATGAGAAACATGACAAACTTTTTATCATTTAAAATAGGAGTAGGAAACCTGTAGTTTTCCATATATTACTCAGCTACGGTGCCCAACAGCTGTGGGCAGCGTGGCCAATGGTAGATATAAGAAATATAGTTCAATATCTAAAGGTTCATGATAAAAAACAAAGCATGCCAAGGAGACTCAAACCTAGCAGAAGCTAATATGTAATATGAACATATGTAATTTTGAGGGGATGAACTGTACATATTAGGGATTCTAAAACTTTGTGATATGATGATCTCCTAAAAAAGTAAATGAATGTATGTGATCCCCCACCCCCATGAATTAAGCTGTTAGACTGCACTTTAGTCTAGCTCCTATTGTCAAGTGTATTTGTTCTGCCTGAATAGATTCAGGAGACCTCCAATGTTGGATGCCTGGACAGTGTCAATAGTTCAGAGAATGTGCACGTATCCAGACAGAGAAAGAGCAAGTACCACTATAGTATATAACCTCTTAAAAAGTATTAAATAAATATAAACATTCTCAGCTATCTACTTCAGTGTCTTGATTTTAGAGCTAATAAACTTGATCATTCTTGATAAATGAATTACAGCACAGATAGAACAGAATCTTCTGAAATTCTGTAATACCTTTGTAATGCTGCTTTGACCTCTTTAAAGGAAATATGAGATATTAACTAACAAGTAAATAAATAGCAACTGATGTGGAAAAGAATTTATCAAGGCTCATAAACATTTTAATTCCATCACACTCTGATTACTAAAATAAACTTCACCTTGTTCAGTACTAGAAGTTTGACTAAGACCAATAATTTAATAGTTGGTACATTATTACTTTATGAATGACACTACTTTCTGTCCTATTTTCAAACCCATTTCTAGATAATAGCTGTTTGTTAACACAACAAATATGTATATCTATCAAAGGCAGGATATTAAAAGATATATTTCTTGCTACTACAATTAATGCTCTTAAGAAAAGCAAGAGAGTAGTTTTTCAGTACAGGTAGTCCTCGACTTACAACCACAATTGAGCCCAAAATTTATGTTGTTAGGTGACACATTTGTTAAGTGAGTTTTGTCCCATTTTAGACATTTTTTTGCTTCAGTTGTTAAGTGAATCACTGCAGTTAGTTAGTGTATCAGTTATTAAAGTGTATCTGTCCCATTTTAGACCTTTTTTGCTTCAGTTGTTAAGTGAATCACTGCAGTTAGTTAGTGTATCAGTTATTAAAGTGAATCTGTCTTTCCCATTGATTTTGCTTGTCAGAAGGTCACAAAATAGTGTCACATGACCTTGAGACACAGCAACAGTCATAAATAGGAACCAGTTTCCAAGCATCTGAATTTTGATCACATGATCATGGGAATGCTGCAAAGGTTGTAACTGTGATAAAATTGTAGTGGTCATAAGTCACTGCTGTTACTTCGAACAGTCACTAAATGACTGTTGTAATCGAGAACTACCTGTAATAGATTCTTCCTAGACACATGTAAATTTTCCTTTGTAGTTCAATTTCTAATAGATAGTTACAATTTTTAGTTTTCTTATTTTTCATACTGGTTTTATTTGGTCATTTCAAATCACTTAAAAAGAATACACTGAAATTATTATTTTGATATTTGGCACACAGAGACCACAATCCACAGTTGATGACGAACAAATTCTCTGAAGTTGCTCTTTGGTCTGACTATAAGCCTGAACAGAAATATTAAAATACTTCACCAGCCCATGCCATATACCAAACAAAACCAATAGAACCAAAAATCACTGTTAATGACACCCAGCTAACAAATGTGAATACTTCAAATACTTAGGAAACATCATCTTGACTGATGAATCTTTAGACAAAGAAAGCAACTCTAAGGTTAGTAAGATCAGCCAAGCATTGATGCAGGTGTTTATTAGAGTTCTCAACCAATACAAGAGCCACATCAGAGACAGAAAGAGAGGTAGAGAGAAAGGGAAATGAGGAAAGAGAGAGGGGAGAAAAAGAAAGAAAGAAAGAAAGAAAGAAATAGCCAAAGATTTATAGAATATTTTGAGCAAAATCTGCTCAGGAGAATCAAAGTCATAATTTTAAATTACAAAATAAATACAGGTAATTTTTTAAAAAAATGCAAATTGTAAATTCCAGAAGCAGAATGACAGCCTCATAAATAAAGGATGCTTTTGACTTCCGGTTGATGTCATGGCACTATCAGACAAGAAAAGCGGGGCTCTGTGAACTCCCTTCATTGGAGGGCCCCATAAGGGACTAAAGTCACCCTGTAGGGGTGATAAAGAGTGGAGGGGTGCCCTACAGGTTTCAGAGGGAGGGCTAATTCCCTCTCAGCCGACAATGAAGAGGAGAGGCAGCCATTATGGCTGTCGTGAAGCTGGAGCAGCCAAAGAAACAAACGGTGCTGAAGTGGTGTGGATTAATTGGAACTTGATGAGGTGACTTTTTTTACCTGAAACCTATCCTAAAGAAAATAAATTCTGGAAAAGGGACTCTTTGAAGAGTTTGTTTAAGGGGCAATTACAGAGAGAAAAATCATAGACCCCAAAAAAAACAAAAGAATATTAAGAAGAGAGCGCGAAACCTTTAAAAACACAGAAAGATTGGATCTCTAATTTTTATTGGCAATAAGGCATTTTAAAATGCTGGAATGGTTTGTCAGAATTTTGATTATTTGTTTGAATAAATACAACAGAACTTGTTACAATCTATGCAACATTGAAATTAAACAGAAGCCGTCATCTACTGGTGAATGGAATACATTATATTTGTACAAACCTGAGAAAAGTACTAACAACACAGAGGAGAAAGAGGAAATAACACCTGGAGGACTGCTATGCTATCTATTGTTTTATACTTATCTATTCCATGACTACTGTAGCTCTAATATTGAAAATAAAACTAAGTAAAGTGACTTTTAAATATCTGGAGCTATGATTTAACTTATAGCAGGGACTTAAGGAGATGTTTGGAAATTTTCCTGGATTACCTAAAAAGAGCGAAATTGGCTAACTGTGGGATATAAATAACCATATTACTCTATTTCCAGAGGAGCAACATCAGGATTGAGTAAATGGTTTCCAGTTCAACTTTCTGAGGGGAAAAAATAATTGAGATCCTGGGGAAGTGATAAAACATTGACAAACTACTGACTGATATTTTAACTTATAAAAAAAAAAGATGTTTCAGTAGAGGACAATAAGAGGGTTGCAAAAAGAATTAATAGCAATGTTTCAAAGTATTTATGATATTATGACAAGGAATCACAGGGAGATAATGCACTTAATAACATAAATGGGAAGTTAGAAAGTGCTCCACAGGGGATAATGAATAATGATTTAAAAAGCCCAGGAAATAGAGGAGAAAATTGAGAGACCAAAGGAAAAGATAGAACTAAATAAACAAACAAAACAAGAAGAGGGAAAAATAAAAATAAAAAGCAATTCAGGGGAAATACATGCTAAAAGGTCAAAAAATGATACTAAATGATAATAATCCTATAATAACATCTATGAAGTGACACCAACACCTTGTACCTGCCAAGAAGAATAGGGGACAGAGGGTTATTGCAAATCTATCAAATTGTTGAAGAAGATAAATGAAGTTTGAATGATTATGTGAACCAAAGTACAGAAAGATTGCTGCATGCTGTGAAAACGGAGAACATTATAAAACAACAGAAACAAAGGCAGAATATAAGGAAAAATAGCTAGATGACAGATTAAATTGACGGAAAACCAAAGCTTTGCATGGACAGCACTTGAAAAACATTGAAGAGAAATGTGATAACAACTTGACATGGGAATGGCTTAAGAGAGGAACCATCAAGAAAGAAACAGAAGGTTTAATACTTGCTGCTCAAGAACAAGCTTTACAAACTAATGCCATGAAAGCAAAGAAATAAAAATCCACTGACAATCTAAACTGCTGACTTTTCAATGATGAAGTTGAAACT